AGCCTCGTCCGAGGAAAGTCCTGCAACCAATGGCTTGCTAAAAAACCGAGCCTATTCTGCTAGAGTGAAAGAACATCTTCGTGCGACTTATGCGCACTTTGCTGGTGGATTGATGATGACGGGTGTTTTCGCCTATCTTTTCCATCGTGTCGGATGGTCCACGCGATTAATGACAGCGAACAAATGGGTGTCCGTTGGTGGAACTCTACTCTTTAGTTTTGGATCCGGTTTCGCAACCCAAATGATCGACCAACATCATAATCCAGTATTAAAATATACCGCATGGACATTGTTCAACAGTTCGTTCGGCCTAATTTTATCACCGCTTTGCTACTTAAAATCGAGTCTAGTTGTTCGCGCTGCTCTTTTGGTTACGGGCGTCGTAATTTCAATCAGTGCTGTCGGTATGACTACTCGACGGGAGCAATATCTCTGGTTAGGAGCTCCATTAAGTAAGTTTTTAATGAACTTTTCACTATGTGATCTGTACGGTTTAGTGGCTGGTGTCACTGTGGTATGCTTGGCATCGATCAGTTCAACAATTCTGCCGGATACTGCCATCAGAACCTTATCAGTATTAGAATGTATTTCACTATACGGTGGCCTTTCGATCTTCCTTGGCGTTCTTCTATACGACACTCAAAAGATGATTGCCAATGCTGAGAAAGCTCAGGATACTCGAACATTATCGCCCATTGATGAGTCTCTAGATATTTATCTCGATACAATGAATATTTTCATTCGTATTCTTGCTCTTCTCAAGAAGGACGACGAACGCAAAAAGAAACGATTCGCTTCAACTAGCGGAACGGGATAGTATCAAGTGGCAAGCATCATCAGTCTATAGAACAGTGACCGATTGATTTTTATCTTATATTTCATTTTTTTCTCAAATCGTGGGTGTGGGTGTGGATACCTGCTTCAATCACGCAAACACCCACACCCACATCCACATCCACACTCCACCCTATATTAGTGAACATTACAAAAGCATTCAGTTCGCCTAAATCACTCTCTATTTCATACAAAACTTTAACATTATTTACTGAATTTGTCACTTTGTTAGTGAATGTCAGTGCATACCCACGAGAATGACTAGTAAACAAGTAACCATTAGTTGCGACCAGATTACCTTCATTTGTCTTCAGTTTTTCTAATTCATCTTTCGAAAGTTTCACTGCTCGATATAAACGAACTTTTTTCCCTACGTCCTTCGCAATTTTCTGATATTCGTGAGTAAGCTGAGTCGAAAGATCGGCAATATAGAAACGAAACGTGTAAAGTTGTTCAATATCTTCAGTTCGTAGTGCTTGATTAATTAATTTATAAAAAAAAATGTTTCTCTTGGATACCAACGAATGCAATCATCGCTATGTTAATTTGATTCAAACTCATCAATTAATGCAAGTATTTTATGATTACCACGATAGTATTGTCTGCATGCTTCAAGGGTGTGGATGTGGGTAGGTGTGGGCACGCCTCTTGCTTTCATCCACGATCCACATCCACACCCACAAGTTTTACTCCCAGTTGGCTTACAAGTATCACGATAAGAAAAACAGATAGAAACCCAAGAGTGTAACCGATTTAGATTGTGGATCTTGTTCGGCTCAGAAGTCTAAAATTTAGACTGATATGAACGAATATCCGAACTTAAGTTTTATCTTCAACAAAAAAATGTATGAGATAAGTTTAACTCAATTAATACAGTTTTGATTACAGTTAAACAAAATGAAGTGTGCTTCGATTAAACTAATGAAACAAATTGACCAAAAAAATAAAATAAAATACACTTGTTGAAATAAAACAAGTGGATTATTTTGATGAGAGCATGAATACTTGCTCTCAACCAGTTTTATAATAATCATTCTATTTTATTAATATAATTGCATGGTACATGATAGAAATTGCTCAAATTCAAATCGAAGTTGTTGAAAAAGTTTATCGTGAAACGTTGACGAGGTACACTAATATTAAAATCATTATTATCACGTTTTGGTACAATACCTGAATTATTCGAACATGAAGAATCCATTGCTCTTCGTTCATATTTATTACCTGATAGAAGAGATGAATTTTTTATTGAACTAAATTCTTCATCACCAGCTGCAGGAACTTTAATCATGATCAATTATCAACTAATGTTCCAATATCGACCAGTTAATTCTACAAGTAGATTTAGTTTACTTGCAGATGGATTGTAGTCTTTTTTGAAAATATTTTTTAGTTACAAATGATGATCTAATTGTAAGTTCATTTTCAATCTCACCATTAATGCGTGAAAAGAGACTTTCTGGTCAATTTCGTCTTGATAATTCAAATATTTATCTTCATAATGGGATTCAATTACGATCAGCAATATTTCAAGTTTGAATTATTTTTTCAATACAATTTTCATTTTCGGATTTTTGTTTAGCTAATAAGTCGTTTTTTGACGATGAAGTGCTTGTTGATGATATCAAAAACTTCGTACAAACCTTTTGAAAAATACGATATCCAAAATCAGTTTTTCAATCTACAATGAATATAATCCTTTTATACCCCAAAACAAAGATGGAACATTTAAGTCAATTTTTCAATAAAAATATTTTTAATTATAAACTTTGCCCTTTACAAAATATGTTTAATATGCTTGAAATATCTTATGCAAAAACAAAGGTCTTCTCTCATCAAAACATTGGACAGTACATCAAAGCATATTATTAAAATCAAATGAAACAAATAATAGCGAGGTAGACTTAAAGCATTCAATGATTCAAACACGACTATAACAAAATATATTAATTCATATACCAGAACCCATACGACGTAGTTTAACATTAGCAAATGCAGTTTCACTAAAATCTTTATTTTTATATAATAATAAATGATCATTAACTGAAATTTCAAGCATAACAACATCATCAATAATATATAAATGTGATGATGAGGATGAAGATAGATTACTCAGTACTATTGATCAATCAAATAATTATGTAACTATATCAGATAAAAAAAAAAGTTTCGAATATTTTANAGGCATTAGCTAGGCGCAAATTTTGTCCGAGCAGAATTTTGAAAATCGCTTCGTATATTTTCTATAAATTATTTAATGGGATTGGAATTTCATCAGTCACTGAATGAATTTTTCTCAATCTTGTTTGGTACAAATCCTTTTATGTAACTATATCAGATAAAAAAAAAAGTTTCGAATATTTTATGTATTCGTTTTGCTTATAAAGATTTTGTACGACAAGATCATATGATGTCTTCTATGAATTTCCCAGGAAATTAATATAAGTTCTGATAGATTAAGTCAATGCAATGTCCAGATATAAGAGATATAGAACATACTGGAGATATATCTCTTATACCCCATATATCTCCTATATTTCTTATACTAGGGTTTAATTGAGGTTCCGAACACATTGTACAAAGACATCTAATCCATTTATTATTGCATTTTTTCTTTATTTCATGGTGCTAATCGGTTGTACTATATTTATTCTAATTCTTAACAAAGCGTTTCGACGTGTTCGAGAAGATGTCAGAGAAATGAGCAGTAATGAACAGCAAATTTTTTTATTTATTCTTCTGAGAGTAAAACGATTGATTGATGAGTTAAAGAATAATCATATAGTTGAGCGAATGTTGTATGTATTTAGGTATAGACAACCGAAATGTAGTGCCATCCCAAGAAAGTCAACTTAGATAAATAAATGTCCAACAGTCAGATCCTGTTTTGTGATTTGCCAAAGAGATTCAATCGGTTTCAATAGTTATGAACAAAATATCAATTACTAAATGTTTTTTATGGAATAATAAATCTTTTCTTTTATTTTGAAAGCATGTCGTCGGTCAAGGATGACAGTGAGTAGATGACATTTGTTCATATTGTGTGATATTATCATTTAAATTAATTGTCTATCGCGACTAACTCAATTAAAGATTTCAGTCTTTAAAGATTT